GATCCACCCGCCTCGGCCTCCCAAAGTGCTGGGATTATGCTGAGCCACCAGGCCTGCCACTATTTGTATTTTACACTTGATCTTGGCCAAAAGGCAGAAGCCATACTATTTATATTTTTATACATTTATCCCCATCTAAATATGTTACTACATACATACTGCAAATTATTTATTATATCTTTGTTTAGTGTCTAAATATCCTCTCCAATTGCACCCTCAGCAAGAGAATGTAAGCTCCATAAGGACAATATTGATCTATTCTTGTTGTCTGATGTAATCCGCTGTACACCCTGGACAGAACCTGCTACAAAGTAGGAGCTCAATAAGTATTTGAATGAATGTATCGTGGCACGGGAAGAACCTAGAAGAAAGGGGCGGCTGAAGCTGTGAAAGGAGCAAGTGGCCTGGCGCGGGGGCTCACGCCTGCAATCCCAGCACTTTGAGAGGCCAAGGCGGGCAGATCACTTGAGGTTAGAAATTCGAGACCAGCCTGGCTAACATGGCGAAACCCCATCTCTACTAAAAATACAAAAATTAGCCCAACGTTGTGGTGGGCGCCTGTGGTCTCAGCTACTCTGAGGCTGAGACAGAGAACTGCTTGAACCCGGGAGACGGAGGTTGCAGCGAGCTGAGAGCGCGCCACTATACTCCAGCCTGGGCAAGAGCGAGACTCCGTCTCAAAAAAAAAACAACAACTGTGTGTGTGTGTTGGGGGCGGAGGGGGCGGGTCAATAAACAGAGCAATACTGTATATGTAAAATACACAATGGTATGGTACCAAAAACACATAGATGGAATGATCTGTAGCACTTCTCCATTGTATTACATTCAACGAAACCGTTTAGAGCTGGTTCTCCCCCCTCCCCCACTGTCTTTGTTTCTTTGGGAACCCCCACACGGCACAAACCGTGTTTTAATTCCTATTCTCTAGTGTGCAGATAAGTGCCTGGCACGTATTAAGTTGTCAAAAGAGGTCGTGAGCAAGTTAACAAATCACTGCTTCCATGTCCCTAACTACTTTTAAGCTCCTGGAGAAGAGATTTCCTATCTCTTGCGCTTCTACTTCAACGCCCACTTCAGAGAGGGCTCAAAGTAACGTCGTGAACTTAATACGCAATAAGGCAGCGCCCAGAGGCGGAAGAGGCAGAGTTTTAAGCTCCGGCCACGTGACGAAGGTGGGCGGGGCGTCAAAGTTCATATCCCAGCGTCCTTTGAATCAACTTCCTTTTTTCTTCTCTCCGGCGTTCAAGATGTCGAAGCGAGGTGAGGTTTTGCTTCTGGAGGATCCTCCACCATCTGTCGTGCAGTGGCTGGTGGATTCGTCAGGAGCGGTGGCCCTAGGCAGCTGGGGCGCTTTGCTCTCCTTCAGGCCGGAGAGGGAGAGCCAGGCCATCGCAAGAGCACTGCCAGGGCCCTCGAAAGTGGCAGTGGGGTGCTGGAGAGTTGACATAGCAGGATCCCGACATGAATATAGTCTGGGTCCCGCGAGATCGCTCTGCGAATAGGGCTATCGTATTGGGGTTGAAGTTAGACTGGATTAGGCCCTGGTTTGCGCGACCTCTGCGGTCTTATGCTTTGCAGGAGCAATTGCGTTTTGCGAAAGTTGGAACAAGGGCTGAGTCGTCTAGGTTCCTTAATTTCGATGTCAGAGTGGTAATAGTGACAAATAGGCTACTTTCCGTGAGAATCGGGTGGCACACGGGGAGGGCATAAGTAAAATCCGAGCGAGCTAATCTATAGTATACCGTCTGTCAAAGTATGTGCGGTGAATTACAGTTTATGAGGGGGAACTGCGAACCATGTCTAGATAGTGATCTCTTTATCCTGTTTACCTTCCCTTTATATCCACAGGACGTGGTGGGTCCTCTGGTGCGAAATTCCGGATTTCCTTGGGTCTTCCGGTAGGAGCTGTGATCAATTGTGCTGACAACACAGGTGAGGTCTTTGACTGCAGGTTGCTATACTCCCCCTTTTAAAAGCACTCAATGGGCCTGTGCCTAATGACCTATTGAGCCGTCAAGAAAGGGGAGAGTGAAAACATCGCTTTTGGGTGAAGTGGCAACATGTTGTGTTGTTTGCTTCAATCGGTGGTGTGACAAGGCGTTCTTGAGGACCAACTGCTTGGGCAGTCAGTGGAGGGAGGGACTTTGGAAGTGTTTGGGAAATGTAATAGTGATGGGACGGCCTGATGGGCCCTCAACGTTTTTCATTTTTATTTACATTCATTTGTAGGAGCCAAAAACCTGTATATCATCTCCGTGAAGGGGATCAAGGGACGGCTGAACAGACTTCCCGCTGCTGGTGTGGGTGACATGGTGATGGCCACAGTCAAGAAAGGCAAACCAGAGCTCAGAAAAAAGGGTGAGTAAACACTGAGCCCACCTTAACACTGATAAGTAGTGGGGGGACTCTTTCCTTTATTGGAAAATAGATCAGTTTTCAAGGCCTCAAGGTTGTTTTCCATTGAGAGGCAATGTGAGATAAGTATCTTAAGTTTTTGTTCATACTATGTTGGAGGGGGGACCATCATCTTGTCCTTTCCATACTTTAGATTTATTTATTTATTTATTTTTTGAGATGAGGTCTCCCTCTGTCGCTCAGCCCACACTGGAGTGCAATGGCACGATCTTGGCTGACTGCAACCTCTGCCTCCTGGGTTCTCAAAAAAAAAAAAAAAAAAAAATTAGAAAATGAAAACGAGAAGCTGCTCATTATTTTATTTTTATTTATTTATTTTTGAGATGTAATCTCACTCTGTTGCCCAGGCTGCAGTGCAGTGGCACATATCTTTCTGTTCACTGCAACTTCCACCTCCCAGGCTCAAGTGATTGCCCTGCCTCAGCCTCCCGAGGAGCTGGGATCATAGGTGTGCGCCACCACACCCAGCTAATTGCTCATTACTTAATCTCAGGCTACCCCCTCAAAAGTTTTCCTGTCAGGTGTATGATTTAAAGGGGGAGGCCTCAAAATACTTGCAGTTTGTGTCCTGTCTGGCTTTAGAACCTCTAGTATTTGATGCATTTTAACTTCAGCTCTTGCACATATTTCCTGTGCCTGCCTAGTCTGTCTCTACCCTGGGATGTCTTGCTCTTCTAAAGAGTTCATGGCCATCCCTTGATTTACAAATGTGATGTTGCTTTGTTAGCCATGTGTTACAGTTATTCGTATTCCTGTATCCACCCCACGATGCTCTCCAGTAGATTTTTAACCTTTGGGTTAGAAATCTTTTTTTGTTTACCATTAATAGCCACTTGAGGGCTTGGTAGCACTGTGCTTGTGATTCAGCAATTGCATGGGCTTTTTCCTCTTCTCAGAACACTTCCTGGGTCTGATTGGTGGCCCAGGGAGCTGTTAGAGAAGAGCAGAGCAAATGGCCATCACTTTGTAGATGAGATGGCAGGAGAGTGGATTGTTGGTCTCAGTCAGTGGTGGGACAGACCAGAGCTCAGAACACTTCAGTTTTAAAACGAGCTGTGAGTATCCAATTCTGTTAATGTCTTTTTTGGTCCTTGTTTCTGCTAAATGAATACATCCCCTCCCCTTGGAACTTAATAAATAACAAGCACAGAAATGTGCAAAAGGGCCAGGTCTATTTGTCTACTTGATGAATTTGTGAGCATTTAATGGTTTATAAGTAGAGGAGGGTCAGTAAGTATTGGCTGCCTCATGTGTGTTCCATTGCTAACTTGGTTAGACTTATCTATTTTTTGTATAGTCTTCCTGTCATTATAAAAATTCTGTGTAAGGACCCCACACTAGTATCAGTGAAGATTTGAATCCAGGTGTGTCTGACTCTACAATAGTTCTTCACAAGCATTATATTTCACTGTGTAGTGATACTTGATTTTGAAAGTTGGGAAAAGCATCTTTTTCACTTTAGTACAGATGGGTGTAAAAGTTAACTTATGACACTGGAAAATAAAACATAAAGCCTGGTGTTTGGGCCCAGGAATTCCAACTGTTTTCCAATATAAATCTGAATAGCTTGGTCTCTGCTCATTGCCAGGACTGGGAGCAGTTGGGGGTCCCAGGTCCCATTTCTACATCCCAATTCAGTGATACTGGGATCTTAATAACCCACCTGTGAGGTGAAGTTGGAAAAGGCATAGACAAGGATAATTGGCCTCCTGAGAGTTTTACACTTGCAAGAAAATACTGGCAGCTTTGATTTTAAGATGTGAATAGATGGTTGTGGTTCATGCCTATACTCCCAGCACTTTGGGAGTAAAAAAAAAATCTGGGCATGGTGGTGAGCACCTGTAGTCCAAGATACTGGAGAGGCTGAGGTGGGAGGATCACCTTAAAGACTGATTGATATTTACACTGTCTCAAACACTGAGCGTACATTCTGTCTAGCTGGCAACTGCTTTTGTGGTGGCATTGCAACTTGACAGGTTAATGACTGCTGTCTTTTTTTCTTCTCTCAGTACATCCAGCAGTGGTCATTCGACAACGAAAGTCATACCGTAGAAAAGATGGCGTGTTTCTTTATTTTGAAGATAATGCAGGGGTCATAGTGAACAATAAAGGCGAGATGAAAGGTAGGAACTCAGTCTGGCTTGTTCCTTAGGTCTCTGAGGTTGGGTGGATTGTCTAGAAGTACAGGCCAAGGATCCTCTGTGTTTGATGATGTCTTAACCTGTCCCCCACATGTGTTGTTGTTGTTTTTTTTTTTTTTTTTTTTTTTTTTTTTTTTTTTTTTTTTTTTAAACGCAGGTTCCGCCATTACAGGACCAGTAGCAAAGGAGTGTGCAGACTTGTGGCCCCGGATTGCATCCAATGCTGGCAGCATTGCATGATTCTCCAGTATATTTGTAAAAAATAAAAATTTTAAACCCATTAAAAAGTATTTGTTTGCAGTGCTTGCCTCCCTGTTCACTTCTACACTTTTTTTTTCCCCCAGAGTCTCACTCTGTCACCGAGGCTGGAGTGCAGTGGTGAGATCTTGGCTCGCTGCAACCTCCACCTCCAGGGTTCAAGTAATTCTCCTGCCTCAGCCTCCCAAGTAGCTGGGATTACAGGCACCTGCCATCATGCCTGGCTAATTTTTGTATTTTTGGTGGAAACGGGGTTTCACCATGTTGGCCAAACTGGACTCAAACTCCTGATCTGAAGTGATCTGCCCATCCCGGCCTCTACAGTCTTTTTGACATGACCTGACCCCTGACCATTGCCTTTGTGAAATGGAAACACTGCGCTTTTTTTTTTTTTTAAAAAAAACAATCCTTGCTTTTTTGTGAGCTTGCAGACTTTTGGCATTTTCCAATTGCTGTATTTAATTTTGGCTTCAAAAAGTATTCGGGTTTTGAGTCCCAAAAATAATAATAGATACTGCTTGATGACTGGCTATACAAGATAGCTTCTCCTGCAGTGAGAAAGGCATTGAAATGACGTCGCTGTGGCTCGCGCCTGTAATCCCAACACTATGGGAGGCCAAAGCAGGCGGATCATGAGGTCAGGAATTCGAGACCAGGTTGACCAACATGGTGAAACCTTCTCTACTAAAAATACAAAAGTTAGCTGGGCATTGTGGTGCACGCCTGTAATCAGCTACTGAGAGAATTGCTGAACCTGGGAGGTGGAGATTGCAGCGAGTGGAGATCGTGCCATTGCACTCCAGCCTGGGCGACAGGGCAAGATTCTGTTCCCCACCCCCCACAAAAAAAAAAAAAAGGCATTGAAGTTAAGATAGACTATATAGTTAGATCCTGGACACACAGGGATTTTGAGGATTGATGTTAATGGGAGCCTGTCTATATGTACATTTTAGCAGTTAACAGGTTTGGAGTAAATTTGTAAAACAACAGTAATTGCCATGTAGGTTTACTGTCATAGTGGAAGATGATTAAGTTGATGGTACATACAGGTATTTTGCTATGAAAATGTTGTGACAAACAGGATGATTGTGTAATTTACGTTCCAAGCTCTAGTTTGAGAATGGAAGAATGTGATAAAATTTTGCCAACTGAACAGGCATAAAGCCCTGTTAATAAAGGCACTTGGTCTTAAGGTTAGCATTTGTTTCTAAACTCTGTGAGAGTTGATTTAGGTGATACCCAGTGTCTGGGAAAAATGGATACTCGTTTAGAACAATAATTTGGGGGGCAGTGGACTAACTAGGGTTTTTAGATTGAGGTTTGTGTTCATATATCTGTATCTGCAAATACTCAGCCATAAATGTCTCTGCCTGTAAGTTAGGTATAATACAAGTTCCATTTGGTATCAAAAAGAACTACCCTTAATGTCTTATGACTAGTTTATGGAATGTACCAGACCTAGAGAGGAGTTGTTCTAACCTGGAGCTTTTGAAAATGTTTCTGGTTCATACCCTAGACCAATTATGTCAGACTGCAGAATAGGACTCAGACATCAGAATTGTGAAGCTCCCAGGAGATTTCAAGGTACACCCAAGATTGAGAACCAGTACCCTGTCTAGACTGAACCAGTCTTGGTTTTAGAAGAATTAAATCTTGGCTGGGCGCGGTAGTTCACGCCTATAATCCCAGCACTTTGGGAGGCTGAGGTGGGTGGATCATCTGAGGTCAGGAGATCGAGACCAGCCTGTCCAACATGTTGAAACCCCATCTCTACTAAATACAAAATTAGCCAGGCGTCGTGGTGCATGCTGTAATCCCAGCTACTTGGGAGGCTGAGGCAGGAGAATCGCTTGAACCCTGGAGGTGGAGGTTGCAGTGAGCCGAGATCCTGCGATTGCACTCCAGCCTGGGCAACAAAGAGCGAAACTCTGTCTCGGGGGAAAGGAAAAAAAAGTATTAAATCTCTAGTTTGAGAAAGTTAGACCATAACATCCCTGAGTATGGTCAATTTCAAGTCAGCTTTAGTGTGACAAGCCCCTAGGCCCACTTTTTATATTTTTATATATTATGGCAATATATGATCCTTATGTATTACCCTTAATCACTGCTATTTTTGAATTTTATCTTTTCTGAGACAGTTTTGCTCTGTCACCAAGGCTGGAGTGCAGTGACACCATCGAAGCTCACTATAACCTTGAACTGCTGGACTCGGAATCCTCCTGCTGTGGCCTTCAAAGGGCTGCAATTACACGTGTGAGCCACTGCATCCCACCTCATATTTTATGCTTTGGAGATTTTTTTTTTTTTTTTTTGAGATGGAGTCTCGCTCTGTCGCCCAGGCTGGAGTGCCAGTGGCCGGATCTCAGCTCACTGCAAGCTCTGCCTCCCGGGTTTACGCCATTCTCCTGCCTCAGCCTCCTGAGTAGCTGGGACTACAGGCGCCTGCCACCTCGCCTTTTTTGTATTTTTTAGTAGAGATGGGGTTTCACCGTGTTAGCCAGGATGGTCTTCATCTCCTGACCTCGTAATCCGCCCGTCTCGGCCTCCCAAAGTGCTGGGATTACAGGATTGAGCCACCGCCCGGCCTGGAGATTTTTTTTGACTTGGATTAAAAGCTTGATATTTACATTTCACTAAATGTTTTCCTTTGTCAGCTGGGCATGGTGGCTCACACCTGTAATCCCAGCACTTTGGAAGGCCGAGATGGGCTGATCACCTGAGATGAGGAGTTCGAGACCAGCCTGGCCAATATGGTGAAATCTCGTCTCTACTAAAAATAAAAAATTAGCTGGGCGTGGTGACACATGCCTGTAGTCCCAATTACTCGGCAGGCTGGGGCAGGAGAATTGCTTGAACCCAAGAGGCAGAGGTTGCGGTGGCGGAGGTTGCAGTGAGCCAGCCAGACTCCATCTCGCTCCTGGGTTCTTGTTGCCCAGGCTAGAGTGCAGTGGTGCAATCTCAGCTCCCCACAACCTCCGCCTCCTGGGTCCTGGTGATTCTCCTGCCTCAGCGTCCCGAGTACCTGTGACTACAGGTGCCCATCACCACACTTGGCTAATTTTTGTATCTTTTTTTTTATTGTTTTTTATTTTGAGACCGAGTTTTGCTCTTGTGCCCAGGCTGGAGTGCAGTGGTGCAATCTCAGCTTACTGCAACCTCTGCCTCCTGGGTCCTAGCGATTCTCCTGCCTCAGCCTCCCAAGTAGGTGGAATTACAGGCATGCACCACCACGCCTGGCTAATTGTGTATTTTTAGTAGAGACAGGGTTTCTCCATATTGATCAGGCTGGTCTCCAACTCCCAACCTCAGGTGTTCCGCCCTGCTCGGCCTCCCAAAGTGCTGGGATTACAGGTGTGAGCCACTGCGCCCGGCCAGATTTATATATACTTTTCCTTTGTCATCATTTACCTGCAAGTTCTTTCTAGGTAAAAGTTTTAATAGAATGGATTCAAGATATCAGATCTGGCCGGGCGCGGTGGCTCAAGCCTGTAATCCCAGCACTTTGGGAGGCCGAGACAGGTGGATCACAAGGTCAGGAGATCGAGACCATCCTGGCTAACCCGGTGAAACCCCGTCTCTACTAAAAAATACAAAAAACTAGCCGGGCGAGGTGGCGGGCGCCTGTAGTCCCAGCTACTCGGGCGGCTGAGGCAGGAGAATGGCGTAAACCCGGGAGGCGGAGCTTGCAGTGAGCTGAGATCCGGCCACTGCACTCCAGCCTGGGAGACAGAGGGAGGCTCCGTCTCAAAAAAAAAAAAAAAAAAAAAAAAAAGATATCAGATCTGATTTATAGGAGCTTGCAACTTGAACAGTAAAACATATACTTTCATGATAAAAAGAGTAGTAAATATAAAAATTAGTAAATTCACTACAAGACCTGGTGGAGCATGCCCATTATCCCGTCTACTCTGGAGGCTGAGATGAGCAATCAAGTCTAGCTACAGGCACACAAAAAATTGGCTGAGTGTGGTGGTGTGCACCTTTAGTCTCAGCTACTCTGGAGGCTGAGGTGGGAGGATCACTTGAGCCCAGGAGGTCAAGGCTGCAGTGAGCAATGATCACACCACTGCACTCCAGCCTGGGCAAGACTGTCTCTATGAAAAAAACAAAACAGGCCGGGCGCGGTGGCTCACACCTGTAACCCCAGCACTTTGGGAGGCCAAGGCGGGCAGATCACGAGGTCAGGAGATCAAGACCATCCTGGCTAACACGGTGAAACCCTATCTCTACTAAAAATACATAAAAAAATTTAGCCGGGCCTGGTGGCGGGCGCCTGTAGTCCCAGCTGCTTGGGAGGCTGAGGCAGGAGAATGGCGTGAATCCAGGAGGGGACCTTGCAGTGAGCCAAGATTGCGCCACTGCACTCCAGCCTGGACGACAGAGCGAGACACTGTCTCAAAAAAAAAAAAAAACAAAACACAAAAAACACTCCGTCTCGGCTGGGCGCGGAAGCTCACACCTGTAATCCCAACAATTTGAGAGGCCAAGGCAGGTGGATCACCTGAGGTCAGGAGTTCCATATCAGCCTGGCCAACATGGTGAAACACCTATCTCTACTAAAAATACAAAAATTAGCTGGGTGTGGTGATGGGTGCCTGTACTCCCAGCTACTCTGGGGGCTGAGGCAGGAGAATCGCTTGAACCCAGGAGGCGGTGGCTGCAGTTAGCCTAGATGGCTCCACTGCACTGCAGCCTGGGCGATAGAGTGAGACTCTGTCTCAGAAATAGATAAAATAATAAAATATGTAATTTATATAATTAGCTAGATCCATTGCTGTATGTGGAAACTAAAGGAAAATGAAAAAGAAAATTAGCTGGAGGAAAAATATGGTAATATATCCCCCCACTGTTTTGTTACTTTAAAGGACAGATAAGGCCAGTCCTGGTGGCTCATGGCTGTAATCCTCCCAGCTTGGGAGGCCAAAGTGGGCTGATGACTTGAGCTCAGGAGTTCAAGACCAGTCTGGTCAACATAGCGGAACCGTGTCTCTATAAAAAATAGAAAAATTAGCCAGGCCTGGTGGCATGTGCTTGTAATCCCAGCTAATTGGAGGCTGAGGCAGAAGAATCGCTTGAGCCCGGGAGGCAGAGGTTGCAGTGAGTCAAGATCACAACACTGCATGCCAGCCTGGGAAATTGGAGTGAAACTATGTCTTGGAGGGAAAAAAAGAAGCATAAATAATAGCAGATGAAAATAATTGGGATGGGGCCAGGCATGGTGGCTCACCCCTGTAATCTCAGCACTTTGGGAGGCCAAGGCGGGAGGATCACTAGAGGTCAGGATTTTGAGACCAGCCTGGCCAACATGGTGAAACCCTGTTTCTACTAAAAATACAAAAATTACTCACGCCTGTAATCCCAGCACTTTTGGAGACCGAGGCAGGCAAATCACATGAGGTCAGGAGTTCAAGACCAGCCTGGTGAAACTCTGTCTCTAGAAAAAATATAAAAATTAGCTGGGCGTGGTGGTGTGCACCTGTAAACCCAGGAGACAGAGGTTGCAGTGAGCCAAGATCACGCCACTGCACTCCAGCCTGGGCAACAGAGCAAGACTCCATCTCAAAATAATAAAAAAAAAAATAATAAAAATACAAAAATTAATGGCCCAGCGCGGTGGCTCATGCTTGTAATCCCAGCACTTTGGGAGGCTGAGGCAGGCAGATCACCTGAGGTTGGGAGTTCGAGATCAGCCTGACCAACATGGAGAAAGCCCGTCTCTACTAAAAATACAAAATTAGCCAGGCGTGGTGGCACATGCCTGTAATCCCAGCTACTAGGGAGGCTGAGGCAGGAGAATCACTTGAACCTGGGAGGCGGAGGTTGCAGTGAGCCAAGATGGCACCATTGCACTCCAGCCTGGGCAAGAAGAGTGAAACTCCATCTCAAAAAAATTATATATATATATACAAAAATTAGCTAGGTGGTGGGGCATGATGGCTCACGCCAGCAATCCCAGCACTTTGGGAGGCCAAGGTGGTGGATCACCTGAGGTCAGGAGTTCAAGACCAGTCTGGCCAACATGGTGAAACCCCAGCTCTACTGAAAATACAAAAATTAGCCAGGTGTGGTGACGTGCGCTTGTAATCCCAGCTACTCAGGAAGCTGAGGCAGGAGAATTGCTTGGACCCAGGAGGCTTCAGTGAGCTGAGATCCCGCCACTGCACTCCAGCCTGGGCAACAGAGCGAGACTCCATCTCAAAAAAAAAAAATTAGTCTGGGGTGGTAGCACGGGCATGTAATCTCAGCTATTCAGGAGGCTGACATAGGATAATTGATTGAACCCGGGAGGCAGAGGTTGCAGTGAGCTGAGATCGTGCCACTGCACTCCAGTCTGGGTGACATCTCAAAAAATATATATATATATAAAATATAAAATATTTTATATTTATATTTAAATATATATACATAAAATAGACCAGGCCCAGTGGCCCATGCCTGTAAGCCCAGCACTTTGGGAGGCTGAGGTGGGCTAATAATTTGAGGTCAGGAGTTCGAGACCAGCTTGGCCAACATGGCGAAATCCTGTTTCTACTAAAAATATCAAAATTAGCTGGGCTTAGTGGCGGGCGCCTGTAATCTCAGCT